GCTATAGGAGATTCAAAACTGCCCTCTGGACCACATACAAATATCAGTCTTATAACATGATGAAGAATCCCTCTCAAATCAATGACCACCATCATACTTCACGGTACAACTCTAGGGGCTTCCCTGAAGAGTCAGGAGCAGGTTGAAAATGGCCACTATTATTATTCTCATTTTACAGAGGAGGAAAGGAAGGCTTGAAGAGGTTTAAATCATTTGCCCAAGGAGCTGGTAAGTGGTGAAGCTGGGGTTTTACAAAATCTGTATGACCAATGAAACTGTTATCCAATGCTCCGAAACACCAAAAGCTTCCAGCGAACAGCAAGACAGATTAAGCACAGACAAGATCATCTCCTACGTATTCATTCCATCAACGCTTCCCCAACCAGAGGTCGACGTGGCTGGGTGGCCCAGAGGCACATGGGAAGACCTTGTGAGCAGCCAGACGTATGCCTGTGTGTGCGCATGTGTGTGTATGGCACGGAGGGTGGTTTGGAGGGATACTGACAAACATCAGAGTTCTTGAGTGTAGTTCAAAAGTCTCCTCTGAAGTGCCAGGGAGCGGGTTTGTTTCGGAACACTAACGTGTTTTGGAAAAGAAAAAGAAGTTTTAAAAGCAAGCCATCTTTCATTCTCTTTCTTCATTCACAGGGCCACAAAAGTGGTATTTCTGGCGTGGGCTAGAGGCAGAATGCTCTATAAATACAAAGCCATTAAATCCCATGCAGCGGGAACCTGATCAGGGCCTCCTTTTAATTTCCTGACATGAGCTGGCCACTAACCCAATTACCCAGAATCCCCGAAGGAACCCTCCGCCTTCCCAACAAGCACAAAGAGGGAGTGAGAGAATATTGCATGGATGTCAGCCCAGCTTTCACTGAAATCAAATATCTTTTAGAAAACACTTGGGGAAAAGGAGGTAGGAGTGCGGGGGAGGGAAATGAAGCAGGCCCGGGAGGCTGGTAGCTTGAGGGGGGTGAAGTGAGGTAAGGAAAAGGGGAGGTCTGCCGGCACAAGCTGACTGGGGAGTTGCCGGAATCGCAGAGCCATCCTGAAGATTTGGGGAGCTCTCTCCCGCGCTCCTCACCCCGTGAAATGCAGCAGGTGGTGTTCCAGGTTCTTCTGGAACTCAGCTTTGAGGCCGAGTTGGTCCGCGTCCTAGCCAGGCTATGAGCCCACCTCCCAGGAAGAGTTTCTCCACTGTCTTCCCAAAGGAACCTCTTATCCTGCTTTTGGAACCCAGACAGGGGACCAGCCCAAGATGGACGCCACCCTCTAAGAGTCTCACCAGGAAATCCAGGAAAAGAATCAGGGCCGCTGGATACTGTGTGCCTCACCCAACACATGGGGCAGGCTGCTGAGAAGTTAAGTGCAGACAAGACTATCTTTGAATCCAATCCTATTTTAACGCACCAGAAAGCTGACATCTTAAAGCAATTCCACAGTGGAATTGTCTCATATGGTCCCCACATTGACCTGGTGATGCAGAGAAGGTATCAACACTCTTGCTTTGCACAAGGAGGTCAAGTGTGAAATAAGAAGACATAGCAGAATACCTCAAAACCAGGAGTAAGAATGCAAGGCACCAACTCCTAACCCAGTTCAGATTTTGTACACAACTCTTTTGTAGAGAGAAGAATTTTTTTTAAATGAATATACGGATTGTCATATACTAGATTTGCTTAAGGCAAAACAGACCTTTAGACATCACCTACATCCCGCAGCCTACTCAAATGTAAAAGGGCAGGGCAGGGAGCGAGCAGTCCCAGAAGTGGCCCAGGATAGGTCCTGGCCATTCTGAGTATGGAAGAAGCTTTGATGCCTGGGTGGACAGCAGCCTCAAGGGTAAGGGTGAGCCAGAGGAAGCTGCACGTCTGACCTCTTCCTTAGCAGTTGCTGGGCCCCCCAAATCATGAAATAAGCCCTCTGATTGTTTTACTTAAGAAAGGAAAAATTATAAAAGCTCTCTAGAGCTGCAGATGAGAGGGAAACGGCCTGCAGATGTGTAGATGAAATGAGGAAGAAGGAAGACAGCGTTCACGATCTCTCCTTCCCCAGCCTCCCACCCCCTCCTGTAAGACCCAGGACCTCCCAAGCCCCAATGCCTGAGGCCCACTGTGGGCCCATAAAGAGAAGGAGCAGGCTGGAGGGAGGTTGAAGTTTTCCTTTCAGAGTTAAGTCAGAGCTGAGGAGGGAGTACCAGAGGGAGGCATGGAGCCCGAGCTGGTCTCGGGGGCCTGGGCCCCCCAAGACAAGAAGGGGAGGGGACACCCAAACAAAAGCAGGAGCCACGGCAGCTGCCAAGAACCCCCACCTGGCAGGGACCCAGGCTTCTGAATGAGGCACGCGCCTCCTAAGGGGCCGGTCCCCGTGGAGTTTCAGATCCCAGGATCTTGCCCAGGCTCCGCGGGAGACAGAAACTAAATGAAGGAGCTCTGCTTTGTCCTCACTCGAGCCTTTGTGTCATCTTTCCCCCTTTGGATTTAGGATTGCCAGCACTCGTGGGCCAGGGGGTGTCTTCTGGTGACTATCCCTTCCTCCTCCAGGCTGAGCTCCGCAGAGTGCCTCCTCAGGCTGGGCCACAGGAGGAACAGCAAGTTCACCTCAGCCTATGCCCAGCTCCTAGAACAGCCTCACCACCCCGGGGCTTCCACCCCAAGTTAGAGGCCTTCCTTTGCCCTCAAGTGGGCTGACCGCAGGGCTATTTACCGCGGAGGATGGTCAGGGGCATCCAGGGTCAATGTGCAGGCTCACCCGGCCCTTCTTTCCCACACGAGACAGACCCACTCTCAGGCCCGAGTCCTCCCAGCAGCCCCACACCATCATCCTGGGACACAGCATGGATCTCATTGCTCTCAAAGGTGGACTGGCTGGATACCTAAGCTGCTGCTGCCCACCAATCATGTGCTTGGCAACTTGCTTCCCTGCCTCTGTGCATCCTCTGGTCACAGCCCCCTTTCTGTGGGGCACCAGAAAGCACCCCCACTCTCTTGCCAGCACTGCATAGTCCCTAAAGAGACTCTATTCAGTGTTGCAAGAAGGCTCAGGGGTTTCAGGTGGTGGTCTCCTGTCCACTCTCCCCTGCTTTCTCCTCACTACTCCTTCTCCCTCCCCTGCTTCTGAGCTCACAGTCCTTCTGCAGGGGGAGGGCTTGAGGTCAGAAGCCCGGCACATCCCCAACCCTGGCTGAGGGGGCACAGGCCCAACATGGGAAGCTCCAGGCTCTGGGCCCAGCTCCACCTGAACCAGCATGTGACTGAGGGTGGGAGCGTCACCTTGCCCCAGCCCTCCAGGGCTCAATTTTGTCATCCTTAACTTTCAGGGTATATTGATGGCCAGTAAAGATTCTTTCTGCTCTAAGTTCCACTGAGTCAATTCCAACTCCTAGCAACCCTATAGGACAGAATGGAACTGCTCCACAAGGTTTCCAAGGCTGTAATCTTTACAGGAGCAGACTATCACATTTTTCTCCTGAAAAGCGGCTGGTGGGTTTGAACTGCCGACCTCTCATTTAGCAGGTCAGCAATAACCACTGTACTACCAGGTCTTCTTTTCTCCCCCAGCCCTGTCTAATCATCCATGCACACCTCTTTTCTTGCCTCCTCCCATTTCTGGAAGAATCCCAAGGCCCAGAAGCATAAAAGCTAATCTGTAGGAATTTCCACTGGCTCTTCTTAAAAGCTGGGGAAAGAGGAATACACACACACACACACACACACACACACACACACACAACCCATCCGAAAGTGGTACTGAAAGGGATTCAGAAAACTGAGCAGGTGAATGGGGATGGTGAGGAAGGAGCCCCAGAGCAGCGCTGCCCAACAAAAACATAACATGAGCCACATATGTCATTTTAAATTTTCTAGTAGCTTCATTAAAAAAGGTAAGAAGAAGCATGTGATATTCATCTCATAAAATATTTTTATTTACCCCAATATATCCAGAATATTGTTAATTCAACCTGTGATCTTTTTTTTTAAATTATTATTGCAATATTTTACACTTCTTTTTATTGTTCTATTGTTGTTGCTGGGTACTGTGGAGCCGATTTCGATTCATAGTGACCCCATATGACAGCATAGAACTGTTCCACAGGGTTTTCTAGGCTGTAATCTTTATGGGAGCTGATCAACAGGCCTTTCGCCCACGGGAGCCGCCGGGTAAGTTCAAACAGCCTACCTTTCGGTTAGCAGCCGAGCGCTTAACTGTTGTCTCACTAGGGCTCCTACGTCTTCAAAATCCAGCGTGTGTTTTCCACTTACAGCATATCTCAATTTGGACTTGCCGCATTTCAACTGCCCAAGAGCCACCTCGTGACTACCATACTGGACAGCGCAGCTCAAGGGGAGAAAGGCAGGCAAACGGGGAAAGAAAGGAAAGGGAAAGGAGAAGGTAAGGAGGCCAGGAAACCGGGGAAGGGAGAAACATTCACGAGGAGAGAGGGATGTTCAGTGTGGGGACCCAAAGGCTGCTCTTTGCAGGTAAAGAGTGAGTTATTGACCTTTCTGGGCCCTAATGTCTTTTCATCCTAAACCCTACGGGGTGCTGGGAGGTAAAACAGCAAGATGGAAAGGGGGCTTTCCCCAGAAGGAGGGCCTTCCCCAGCACGTCAAGGCAACTTTCTTGATCCCAAGTGGGGTCAGGAGTCCCCAGGCCATTTCCCAAAAGATCCTTAATGGAGAACTTTCAGCGTCTGCCTTCCTAACACTACGTCTGCCCTGGAGGAGAAAAGAGAGCTATGTGGAGTTCTGGGCTCAAAACCAGATTGCAGGGTGAGTGAAACCAGAAAGGTGGTCACCCAGCGGGCAGCATTCTAGCCTGGAAAATGTGGGTGGTTTCTAGGGTCTGCAGCCCACAGCACTGGCTGCACGCGTGCACTGTCCTGGAAGCAGGCCTACACCTTGCCTGGTATTCTGTCACATGTGAAACTCCCAAACGAGAAGAGCCTTGCCCAGGCCCCGGGCCCCCTCGAAGCCTCGGTGGGCCAGTGGGCCTCTTACCTTCCTTCAGCATCCCCACTTTGAGGCATTTCATGAAGCGACAGGCCTGGCAGGACTTGCGCCTCCGTTTCGTGATCTCACATTCGTTGGTGGCTGGGCAGCTGTACTCGATGTTTCCTACAACCAGACACAGAGAGGTTGCCAGATACCATCCCAGGGCCCCTGCTGGTCAACTGGCTAGCTCCAAGGCTGAATGGGGCCTAACTGGCTGGACTTACAATGCCCCCCAGCCAACCCCAGGTTCTCCTAAGGCAGTGGTTCTCAAAGCAGGTGCTCTGAGGTGCTCTCTCTTACACACACACACAGTCCCAAAGGGTCAAAAACAAATGTTTCAAACTCTCTTCTGTAGGTCTGGGTAGGCCAGGCAGCCACTTGGAAAAACACTATTCTGAGAATGGTCACCCTGGGCTGGGACATCAAAACCCACAGAGCTGGCATTTTATCCCAGTAACAGAACACCCACTGTGCTGATCAGAACACCGGTGCAGACTCTGAACTAGTACAACTCTCCCCTCCCCACACGCACCCAGCTGGGACCCCCGAGGGAGCCGGGAGAAGTGTACCCCCAGAATATTGCCCCCACTCCCATCTCGAGTCCCAGAATGGTGCAAAGGGTTAACTTGCTTGGCTACTAACCAAAAGGTTGTCCACCTAGAGATGCCTTGGAAGAAAGGCCCGGCAATCTTCTTTCGGTAAGTCAGCCACTGAAAATCCTATGTAGCACAGTTCTACTCTGACACACATGGGTTGCCATGAGTTGGAGTCGACTTGATGACGACTTGGTTTTTTTTCACCATTTCTTATGTCACTCAGGCTTGTGCAGCTTCTTGGGAAATCATTTCAATAGTCACATCAAAAAACCAAACCGAACCCGTTGCTGTCGAGTTGATTCCAACTCACAGTGACCCTGTAGGACAAAGCAGAACTGCCCCATAGGGTTTCCAAGGAGCACCTGGTGGATTCGAACTGCCGACCTTTTGGTCAGCAGCCAAGCTCTTAACCACTACGCCACCAGGGCTCAAGCATGGCAAAATTAAAAAGATAAACAAGCAGAAGAAAGGAAAATGCATATGAACTAATTCATCCAAGTCCTTACCTTGGCTTAGAAGGCTCTACAGGATTTTCCCCCTGCCTCCTTCTCTCTCTCCAGCCTCAACAAGCCTTTCCCTCAGTTCCCCAGTCACTCTGCAGAGTTATCAGTTCCTGGAACTCTCTCAGGCTTCCAGGCTTCTGCTCCTGCTGCCTAGGGCAAGCCCACTGTGCTCCCTCCATCTCCCCGCCTGCTCTGTCCTAAATCCCCACAGCCCACTTAGGTGGGTGCTCCTTCTCTGAGCTGACCACCCACTGACTTCCCCATCGCTCTGTACCTGTCTGTCTTCACCTACACTGGCTGCTCTCTGTGTTCCAAGTGGGTGGGGCACAGTAGATGCTCAATACATTAAGGAGGGTGACTCTGTGGCAAGCTCATCGTCATCTGTCAACTCTCTTTGATCCCAGGCTGTCCTAGGAAAAGGAAATCCCAGAAGCATCCTCACCAGCTGTCCACAAACAGCTGCAGAGGAGTGGGCAGCTCTCGCCTGGGCTCAGGGATGGGGGTTGCCAAGCTTAAACAACTCTTGGGGGAACTTATGGGCTCAGAGGAAGGACTGAAATCTGGTCTTGGGCAACAGGTGAGCTGCAAACAGTTAAGCACTCTACTACTAGCTGAAAGGTTGGTGGTTCGTACCCACCCAGAGGCACCTTGGAAGACAGGCCTGGTAATCTGCTTCTGAAAGACCGCAGCCTTGAAAACCATATGGAGCACAGTTCTACTCTGACACACATGGGTTTGCTATGAGTCACAGCTGACTTAATGGCAACTGCTTTACTAGTCAATATATACAGGTCTATAGAAGCTCCTGGGCGGCACAAATGATTAAGCACCTGACTACCAGCCAAAAGGCTGGCAGTTCGAACCCACCCAGAGACGCCTGCACAGACAGGCCTGGCAATCTACTTCTGATAGGTCATAGCCTTGAAAACCCTATGGAGCACTTCTACCCTGCACACGTGGGTCACTATGAGTCAGAATCAACTTGACAGCAACTAACAACAGATGCTCAAGACATTAAGATCAAGACTGACTGGGTGCCTGTTATAAAGCGGCTACGGTTCTGCTTTACATGTACTGAATCTTTAATTTTCCCCACAACCCTGGAGGTAACTATACTTTCCTCCATCTAACAGGTGAGAAAGGTGAGGCAGCGGCAGAGCAGCGACTTGCACCCTGGCGGTCCAGCCCAAGTCTCTGCTCTGAGCCGCTGGCGAGGGAGCTATAGGGCCCTTCCTGGCCCCTCGTTCCCAGGCTATCGTCACTCATGCCGCCTTGGATGCCGACCGCACGGCACAAACTTCTCATGTGTCCTGGTCCAAGCTTCCCAGCCTGCCTGTCATGCCCAGGAAGGAGGATGGAGCCACAGCTCTGCAGGGCTGCTGCTCAGAGCAGGGGTCAACCCGCGTCTGTGGACTTGGCACCAGCGCTCTCCCCGGAACAAGGGCACTGAGTGCTAACAGCAAGAGCGCCAGCAGTGTTCTTGACCCTTTGGGATTGTACCCATGTGTGTGTGTGTGTGTGTGAGAGAGAGAGAGAGACAGACAGAGAGAGAGAGAGAGACAGAGAGACAGAGAGAGAGAGAGACCGAGTTCTAATTTTATTTATTTATTTTTCTTCCTTTCAATTTGTTTTATGGCCCCAGCGGCTGGCTGCCAGCAAGGCCAGGCTGGTGGCCTTGCTGTGTAATTTCTGTAAGTGCCTCCTCGATAAAGTGATGAGATTAATTCATCAGAATTCCTGTGGTCTCTTGAGGGCAGCCTAGGAGAGCTCAGGAGCAGGGAGGGGGCATGTGTGATGCAAACACACACACACATACCTGAACACTAATACACACACCAGCTGAGGTGTGGCAGGTTTGGGGGTGGGCTCTCACAGGACATGGACATAGCTAAGGGCTATCATAAATTCAGGGTTCTAACCTGGAAATATGTCCCATATAGACTTTGGGCAGGTCACCTAACCTATCTGAGCCTCAGTTTCCTCATCTGTAAAATGGGTACAGTACATGCCCATCTCATAGGGTTGTGTGGATTCAGTGACAGAAAGCACATGAAGGGCTTAGTAACATCAAGGTCACCATGCTTGGTTTTACAACCGGGCAGGGCTGCCTGGGAACAGCCAGCCAGAGGACACGAGGATAAGTCAATTCTAGGTGTCAGACCCGAGGTGCACCACCCATTCTGACATTACAAACACGAAGATCTGTTTCCCATAGTTAGACCTCAGAGTTGGTGGCTGGGTCTGCGAGAAGAAGGCAGAAAGGCCCAGAACCCAACCTTCATAAGGTGAAGGGGAAATCTACACAGAGAGGAGAGGATCCAAGAGGGTGACTCTGTGGCGAGCTCCCTGCCCTTCACCAACTCTCTTTGATCCCGGGCTGTCCCAGGAGAAGGAAATCCCAGGGCATCCTCATCAGTTGTCTACAAACAGCTGCAGGGGAGCAGGCAGCCCTGGCCTGGGGCTCAGGGATGGGGGTTGCCGAGCTTAGATAAAAACAGCTCTTGAGGAATTTGTAGGCTCAGAGAGAGGACTGGAATCTGGTCTCAAGCAACAAGGCTGCTTGCTGGTTAACACCTGAGCCTGCACGGTCACCATTTGAAGCTGTTGGTGTGAAAGGGCTGGGCTGGCACTCATTTGGTTATGCTTTCCTCTTTATCTCACTCCTAAAGACACCGACTGTCCCTTTCATCTCCGTGGCCCTCGCTGTCCTCAGGTTTCCATCCTTCCCTCCTCCTTTGCTGCTGGCTGGATGATCTCATCGGTGCCACTGGCCTGAGCAGTCATGGACTTGGCCACGGTCTGCAGCAAGACCCACCCACTGCCTGTGCTTCACGGCCTGAGATCCACCTGGCTGCTGGGTATCTCTACCCGGTTCCCTTGGTTCCTCACACTTTCTCAAACTGGACTCATCCTCACCCAACCTGCTCCTCTCACTGTATTCCTTACTCAGGGAAGGGACCAGTAGCCACCCTACTGCCTAAGTCAGACACTAAGGTGGCATCTGGTTTCCTCCTTCTCCTCTACTCCTAAGATCCTTTTCATTCTACTTCCTTGACATTTCCTGCCTCCTTCCCCTTCTGCCATGCTCCTAGTTCCAATACTTCTCATGCCTTACCTCAACTATAATACATTAGGCCTCCTCTTGTCTCCTTTCCCTTTTGAATCTGCCCCCCACCCACACACACACTGCCGCTGTTGTTGTTGTCGGCTGCCATTGAGTCGGCCCCCAACTCACAGCAACCCCATGCACAACGAGGTGGGACAATTGTGATCCATAGGGTTTTCATTGGCTGATTTTTGGAAACAGATCTCTAGGCCTTTCTTCCTAGTCTGTCTTAGTCTGGAAGCTCTGCTGAAACCTGTTCAGCATCATAGCAACAGGCAAGCCTCCGCTGACAGATAGGTGGTGGCTGCACTTGAGGTGCATTGAGTAGGAATCAAACCCAGGTCTCCTGCATGAAAGCTGAGAATGCTCTCACACTGCTCCTTCACAAAATTAAAAAACCAACCAAACTCATTGCTGTCGAGTCAATTCTGACTCATGGCGACCCCATGTGTTACAGAGTAGAACTGCTCCATAGGTTTTCAAAACCCCAAAAAAAAAAAAACCAACTCATTGCCATCAAGTTGATTCCGATTCACAGAGACCCTATAGGACTGCTCCATAGGGTTTCCAAGGATCGGCTGGTGGCTTTGAACTGCCCACTTTTGTTTAGCAGCCAAGCTCTTAACCACTGCACCACCAAGGCTCCATAGGTTTTCAAAGGTTTCTGTAATCTTATGGAAGTAGATCACCAGGCTTTTCTTCTGCAGCACCACTGGGTGAAGTAAAAGGCCAACCTTTTCGTTAGTGCTGTTGTTAAATGCCGACAGGTTGGTTCTGACTCATAGCAACCCCATGTACAACAGAATGAAACACTGCCCAGTCCTGCACCATCTTCACAATCGTTGCTATGTTTGTGTCCATTGTTGCAGCCACTGTGTCAATCCATCTCGTTGAGGGTCTTCCTCTTTTTTTGCTGAT